GCCATCCCAGTCTATGGCGTGGGGCCAGAGCAGCTCCAAATGGGGAAGGGCTCCATCTGCCCTTTCTACTCGCATCATCCAGCTGATGTGGAAGCACTAAGCCCTGAGGAGAGCTGGAAATCACACCAGGAAAACTCCCCTTCCCAGTGACACCAGCTGGGGCCTGGGAACTCAAGACTAAGGAAGGGTGGGAAATGCTACCTGGGGGCACCATGCCTAACACCATCTGAACCCCATTTAATGGCAGGGTTGGGGCCTGGGGACTCATCTTCTAAAGACCAGGGAGTGAATTCAGTGCTTATGCTAGTGAGGGACACCAAGTCTGGCGCAGGCTCTGGACAAACTGGTTTGCAGCTCTGGTTTGCAACCCAGGCCAGCTCCTCCAGGCCACAACTGTGGTTTGCAACCCAGGCCAGATCCACAGCTTGATGTACCCTGGGCCCTTCTCCCCACACCTGTCATGTGAGCTACAGTCCCCAGCACAGGATTGCAGCCCAGAGCTCCACCAAAGTGCCCCTGGTACCTTCATCCTGACTGTGGCCCCTCACCTCCAACCCCAATCTCTGGCCCTCCAGTGGTTCAGTCAACACACCAGGGAGCTCTAGCACCCTTCTGAGCTGAAGCTGGAGGCATGTCCAGAGACAGTAAGAAAAGTGAGCAAGCGCCCAAGCAGGCAACTGCAGCCTGCAACAAGCAGCAAGAACGCATGCTAGACCAGTCTGACACCACGCGCAGCTCCCTGCTGAAGCCAGGCACCACTCGGCCGGGTTTTTAGACTGCCCTAGAAGCCTGCACCATCCACACAACGTGCACCAAAGTCACAGCCAGGGCCCAGCAAGAACAGGCTTCCTCTACGGTCCATTCAGAAATCAAGGCACAGCAAAGTTCCCACCTCCCCTGAGTATGGGTGAGAGGAGCTGTTGTCCAGCGGGGGACATGGAGCCACAGGTGTTAAGTGACCTGCCCAAGGTCATGGTGTGTCCATGCAAGAACCAGGCTCAGTGGCTGGGAGCCCTGCCTCACAGTCCCTGTGCACAGTCACACAAGATGCAGGCAGGTGCGCCTGCACCTGTGGGGAGCCCAGAAAAAAACACCTGATGCAGGGGATAAACACTGGCATGCCTGGGACTGATGACACACGGCTGCGGGGAGAGCCTGCCGTCGCCGCGCTGAGCCTGGTACAGCGGCAGCTGGCTGCTGCATCTCCAGCAAAACAACCCTCAGCCCCCCAAAGCCCAGCAGCCAGACGCCTCGACCCCAGGGCCAGAGGAACAGTGGGGAACAAAGCAGGTCTCCAGTCTGCAGCAAGGCAGGGTTTACAGCAGCCCTGCCCTCTGGGGACCCCCTGCACAGCACAGCTCCCTTCCCCTCCTGCTCAAGCTCCTGCCCAGGGACCACGCTACTGACCTCAGCACTGGGATGGTGGAGTCCGAGGAGGCTGGGAGGAGAAAGGGCCGGTTCGCTCCAGCCAGCTGCCCTGCATGTCCTGCCTGGCTATTTTTACCGCTATATATAATGCTGCCATCCGCACTGCATGCCGGGAGGAGGATTTCTCATAGCCTCGGAGCAGGCAGAGACACCCGACTCCTGGGGATGTGATCTGAATACCAATGATTTAGGGGCGAGGGGAGGAGGTGGCTGAAGGGTGGGGGGAGTCGGCAGCACAGACAAAGAGCTTGGGGAGGGCGAGAGCGGAGGCGCTGGTGGGAGAAGCGCACACTTAGCCCCGGCATGGCTCCAATAAGGTGGCTGGAGCACGAGTGGGCAGAGCAGGGCCAGACTCGCCACTCCATGCTCCAGGGCCTGATCCTGCCCCCACCTGGATCAGGATTTGGCCCCCAGAGTGCCATGACCCCCCTTGAAGCCTGGAAGACCTGCAGACTCCCTCCCCTGGGGCTGCAAGGCATGTGGGGCCCTGTGTGCAGCAGGCACAGAGGGCTGGGGCAATGCCAAGGGTAGGGCTGTGTCTAACCTTTCCTCCCCATTTCCCAGCACTGAGTCCAGTGCTGGGAAAAGGTCCCAGGCAAGATCCCAGTGGGCTGCCACGTGGGGCAGCAGGAGACACTTTCCCACACATGGCCAGGCTACTGTGACCTGGAAGGACCCTCTCTAGGGCACGCAGGGGAGTTTGGCCTTCAGGCTCCATCAGCCCCTGGTATCTCTGCAGAGATGGGCACCAACTCCCAGCCCAGTTCTTGTTAGCCATGGAGGCCTGCCTGGAAAACCCCAGACTCAGGTCATACAGGCCAGTGAGGAGCCATCAGGGGCTCCAACTTCTCTGTCGACCCACGGGAGAGAGAACACATCTCAACAGCACCGCAAGTAACTGCACTGAATACAACACGATGGCTACAGCAGGCAGTTCATCCAGACTGCCAAGCAGCAAGATAGGGGGAAACTACCTGTCGTACAGGGTCAGCTCTGCTCCCGGTTGGGTGCAGGGCCCTGGCAGCTTTGCTTCACAGAGCACAGGAAGGAATTTTGCAGCTGAAAACTTTTTCCAGCAACAGACACAGATTCGGTGGCAGTTGCACTGCTCGCTGCAGTACAGCATGTTTGCTGAATTATGCATTACCAAAAATGTACCCAGTATTTTCTTGCATACAACATACACCTTTTTCCCCCAAAACCAGCTGCTGGAAATTTTGGTGTGCATTATGTGTGAGAAATATGTAAGAGCAGTTTCTGCCTTATTGCACAAGGCTCACCGGCAGCAGAACAATGAGCAGGCTCCGATCCCTAGCTGCTGTTACTTACCGCAGGGAAAGATTTTTCTTCATTCTGCCCTTAAAACAACGTGCATATTTTATCTGAGGCATGTTGTAGGTGGGAAAATATGGTGCATTACATTCAGAAAAACCCACCATGCTACACACTGACGTTTCCAGAACAGCCCACGTCCATGGCCCAGTCCCAATGAATTGTTCAGTCTCTGGAATCACTAGTGAACTGACAAAGCTGCTGGGTGCCCAGCCCCTCATGCCAACAGGCACTGGGGCTCTCTGCCCATGCCCCCCCTCCATGCCCTCAGTCACCCCCACTCAGGAGCCTCTCAACAGCTTCACGGCAAGGGTTGTTGTGTGCCTTGCCAATACAACATTTCAGAGCAGGTGGCTGCCACAACAGGGAAGCAGAGGCAGACCCAGAGGGGACCCAGCCCCTGTACCTGCAGTGAGGGCAGCTACAGGAGCCTCTTCATTTTGCTCCCTTTCTTCTTAGTATCCAGGTGGAAGCACGGGGCTGGGAGTCAGGGCCCCATTTCCAGCTCTGCCACTGCCTCAGTGTGGCCTTGGGCAAGTCTCTTGCCTTCCCTCTGCCTCAGTTTCCCCTGCCGATGGGAGTTACCCCGCTCAGGTACAAGGCTGAAGTCTCATGAGCACCTTGAGTGCCCCAGAAGTACAAACAGTCATGTGACCAGACCACTTAGCACCTTGAATTATTATTCCTAGGCTGTTTAATGAGTTGCTTCCTCCTATTGTGTGCGCTTTCAGGCTGGATGCCAAGAAATACTGAACAGGACATCAACACAACCACTGCTCCTAACTGTGTGCTGGGGGGCAGCTCCTAGCACCCCAGGCCAGCAGCTCCAGGACACCGGTGCCTTGTGGACTCAGCTAGAGCGGCATCCCATTGAGCTGGGGGCTGTACAAGGCCCCAGTCTTGTGTAAGGCAAGAAGTAAGAGATGGGAGCACAGAAACGGCCTCGCAGGGGCAGGCACAGCGTGAGGAAGAGAGTACAAGTGCCAGCGTGTTCCTCCAAGCGATTATAGTGGACAGACACAGAGGGGGTAATAAACCATGTCCCTTAAGCTGGCTCTACAGTGAATTCAGGGTCTCGTATCCAGTGGCTGCAAGTCTCTCAGGGGCCCCACAGAAAGGTCCCTCTGGCATCTGGGACCCCCAATCCCTTGCCCCCCTTGTTCCTGGCCCTGCAGCAGAGGGAGGCAGCTCCCACCACAACCCAGGGATGCTTGGGGCCAGCTGTAGCACTTCACACCCATGGGCCACCTCTCCTTGCTGCTGCTGGTGCCGCAGGGAGCAAGGGCAATTAATTCACCAGTGACGAACCAGCCAGGGCAGTGCAGCTTGGGGAGGGCAGTGTGGGCAGAGACTGGAGAGCGGGGAGTTGCAAGGCCCTTCCCCCTCATGCCCGATTGGGAAGGGGAGGCTTGTCCCGGTCTGGCTGCCATCCCTCTATCCCATGCAGCCACCACAGGCTGGGCCCAGTAGGAAAAGGAGATGGCAGACTAACTGAGGGCTAACTGCACAGAAAGTGGCCCATCCAGCCTGTCCTCAGCTGGCAGATGGGGCCAGCGCTGTGCAGGGGACCAGGGATCACTACAGCAGCTGCCCGGCTACCTGCCCCATGGTCCCTTGGTAGGCACTGGCTGGAGCCTGGCTCTGGAGCCCATACACTTGGGCTGGGGTTGGCTCAGCTGAGAGCTGGTGGAAGGGACTGACCCCTCATGTGCCACACATCCCACTTGTTCTCTCCCATCAGCAGTCTCCTCTCTCCCCTGCCAAGCAGATGCCAATGGCTCACACGCTTGGGGCAGGGACACAGCCCATGTCTTTCCTCTGCACCCCCAAGCAGCTGTTCTGCCTGGCAGCCCTGAGGAGCACTTTGCTTTCCCATCTGTGAGACCACAGTCACGGCAGCCTCTGTTCCTCTGGGATCCCTCCCTGCCATGGCTCCCCAGTTTCTCCCACCCCATTTTCCAGCCCTCTGGAAATTAATCATCAGAGCTGCCCCCTCCCCTTGCATCCTGCTCCAAGCTTTCTCTGCTATCTGGGTGGCACAGTGGCTGTGCCTGCCCTCGGCCCCCAGCTACTGACCCCTCTGGCGCACGGATCCGCTGTGTTTTTCCACAGGCCCTGGGAGCTTCCCCAGTTCCTGTTTTTGATCCTGCAGGAGGAAGCTTGGCTGGTTTCCAGCCCAGGTCCTGGAAAGCATGATGGCATTTCCCCAAGGGGGCCAGAGAGCATCGCTGGGCCCTTACCTGCCCTTCCTCGCCCTCCTCCTCCTCCTGCTGGCCTTCTGCAGAGGCACTGTAGGGTGAGTCTAGCTCAGCCCGTGGCAGAGACCCTGAGCCAGAGAAAGACGCACACTCACCGGAGGGCACACTGTGTGCCCCAAGGGCCCTGGGCAAACCCAGGCCTCAATGCTCCGGGCACCTCTGGGCTGGGGGAAGGAGGGCAATGGGAGAGGCTTGGAGACTCTTAACTGAGCAGATGCTTACCAGACCCATGACTAAAGTAACTTTACAAGACCCTCACCCACCCTCCACACTTGTGTGTCCACATTCCCTGAGGGGCTAGCTGAGCACATAGGCTGCCTCTGTCCATGTGCCACTCCAGTGGTTGGGCAGGAGGGGGCTGGGACCCCCAAATAGCATGTTTCCTAAAGCTGGCCCAGGGGGTAAGCCCAGTGCAGAGAGCCTAGAAGGTCTGGTCTGGGAGTAAGGCCAGGGCTCTGGCTCACCCCCAGCCAGCTCTGCTCTCCCTGGCAGTGTCTAACAGCCCCCCTCACCTGCCTTGTCCATGCCATCTGGGTAAAGCTGTGCCTGGACCACGGAGCTGATGTCAGCAAATATATCATCTTCCTCTCTGTCTGCATCGAACTGAAAGCAGAAAGGCAGAGGCCATGGTCAGTCTGGATCCGTGGTGAGGGAAGGGGGTGAAGCAGGATGGGAAAGAAGAAATCCCACCCCATGCTGGAGTTCAGTCGCCCTCCAAAGCAAGCCCCCTCCCAGGGCTTTGCCTTCCAGGACAACAACTCTCCCACTCCAGACATGCTCCCAGACCTCCCTCCTGCATCCCCAGGGCCATCACGTAGGTCAGTGCCTGCTCCATGCAACCTCCGAGCCTGCCCCATGCTTTGGAGAGCGACAAAGGACCAGGCCCTGCATCAAGCTGGGAGCCAACACCGAGTCTTGGATCTGTGCTGTGCTGGTAGGGGGGAGCCACCCAGCCTGGTGGCTGGGACTGGGGCACGGCTCCAGCATCCCCCACAGAGCCTTACCCGGATGACGACTCCCTTCTCCTGATAGTATTTCACAATCAGTGGGACATTCTGCTTGAAGGTGTCCACCCTCCGCTCGATGGCGTGGGGATTATCATCCAGCCGGCCCTGCTCCAATGCCCGCTTCTCCAGGCGCTGCCGGAAACGCTGGCTTGAGCATGCCAGGAACACCACCAGGTCCGGGGAGCCGATCTGAAGTCAGACAGATGGTCTCGGCTGTGAGGGGGGCAGAGCTCTCTTCCCCATGGGGACCGCAGCAGCCAAGACAGGCCTGAGACAGGCTCTGATGAGTTCAGAGTCCCTGAGGGCAGGGACTGAACCTCTCACCACCTGTCCTGGAGGGTCAGCTGGGACCCACATGTCCTGCCTGTCAGGTGGTAATGGGGTAGGGGGGGTCTGCTGGGAGGGACAGTGGTGGGTCCCAGCGCCGTTCCTGATGGAGCCGTGCTGAAAGTATCCAGGCTGCAGCCTGCAAGAGCTTCTCCTGGCTCCCGGCCCGGCTAGATCAACATGGCCCCACTACACAAACAGGTCCCCAGGGAGTCTCACCATCCCACAGAGGGTCCTGAAGAGGCTTTGGGCAAGGCCTGGACCACTGTGGCCCTAGGATGGAGGAATCCAGGCATTCCCCCGATTGCCAGGAATGCAGGGATCCAATCCTGACCTCCTCTGGGTGGACAGGGTGCTCTTGTGATCCCCAGTCACTGTGGGAGAAGAGGGGCAAGGGTGGCAGCCCGGGGGCACAGTGCCGGGGGGGGTGCACACTGTTGGAGGCGGCTGGGGGGGGACACAGTGCCAGGTGCTAGGGGAGGATTTGGGGAAAGGGCAGCTCAGAACATGAAATGAAGCCTTGCAAAGTGTCTCTGCCCACCGTCAGCCTCACCCCACCTGCTCCTCGAATGTGAAGGCCTGCCCTATCTCCCGGGGAAAACCGTCCACCACAAAGCCTCTGGCATCCTGCTGCTTGAGGAACTGCTGCTTCAGCTCCTCAATGGTGGTTTCCTGCAAGGCAAAGAGACTGCTCAGGGGGCTGGTCATGAGGGCAGGGACTGAACCTCTCATCACTTGTCCTGGGGGGTCAGCGGGGACATACACGTCTGGCCTGCCAGGTGGTTGTGGGGTGGGCAGTCTGATGGCGATAGGTCCCAGCCCTGTTCCTGATGGAACAGAGATGAGAGCATTAAAATCTTTGCACCTGTCATCTTCCACTAGGTCCAGAGGCAGCCCCTGGCAGAGACACCGGCCAAGAGGCAAACTCGTTCCCATCACCTTTTACCCTGTGGGCATCACCAGAGAGGGCTCTCACCAGCTTAGGGCTGGCAGGACATGGAAATGCCCACAAGGCATTGCTGGCAGAAGACGCTGACATAATCTCTGTCCAGGGGGTGGAAACCATTTTGTTAGGCCCTCCTCAAGCCTCAGGTTGTCCTGACACAGCTGAGGGGACAGCAGGGCTGCAAGGGCAGAAGGTGGGGAACAGCAGCAGAAACAGCTGCCAGCTGCCCAGAGGGTAGCGCAAGGGTGTCCCTGAAGGAGCCCAGTGCTCATGACTCACAGGTGGGGCCAGCTCCCCGTTGGCAATGATCTGGGCGATGAGCTCCCACTTCCGGTCACTGGTGGCATGGTGGAGCATCTGACTGCGCAGGATCTCGCCTACGGAGATGCAGATGAGCCCGAAGTGGGCAGCGATCTTGGCACTCTGCGTGCCCTTCCCACTGCCAGGGCCACCTGCCAAGCACAGAAGGCGTGAACACCTGAGTGGCCCCAGGCCCTTTGCCCCATCCTCACCTGCCCTGTCAGTGTCTGCAGAGCTTTCCCCAGGGGACATGCAGGGAAGCAGCTTACAGGGGGTGCGTGTGGGGCTGGCCCCACCCTCAGGGCCCAAGGCACCTCCTAGCACTTGGGGGAGGGTCTCCTTCAGCTCCAGGGGGACTGCCTGGGTCTCCAAGGGCCAGTGCTGTAATCCGGTTCCCTGGCCCATGGGGGACTGATCAAGCACCTATGTCTGTTTTCTGCAGCACATGGATTCATTTGAGCAAGTAACGCGCTGGGTTGGGTCTGGGCTCATATCCCTGCATGGGATTAGCCAAGGCAGCAGAGATCCTTGTATTGCTTACTAAGGGCCTGGGTCTTCTCTCATTCAGGTTGGTGTAAATCAGGAGGAAGTCAATGGAGTGACACCAGGGGAGCAGGAGGGGGTCTGGCCATAGGCGTTAAAGAGACAGGAGGCCATGCCCTCTAAATGCCTCCTATTGCCACAGTGTCCACCACTGAGCCACCCAGCCCCCTCTCAGCTCCTTGGCAATGGTGAAGGGGCCAGGGGAATGGGACAGCGCTCTCAGGGGAGGGCCTGAGCAAGTCTCTCAAAGTGCTCACTGCATATTCATGAATTAAGTCTTTCCAGCCCCCAGTGAAGCAAGGCAGAATTATGACTATTTTGCAAGTGAGCGAGAAGCAAGCTGTGCCCCACCGTAGCCTGGGGCTGCCTACCAGTGAATCCCACTATAAAGGCTCAAGGACTATACAGGATGTCAGACTCCAGTGTTTGCCTCCTACCCTTCGTCCTCCCTGCAGGAATGATCCTGGATGCATGGCCCAGCACTAGGCGGCAGGGGTGGGGGGTGCGGGTTGGGGGGTTCTCACCAATAACAAAGATGATTTTGGGGCGGGGTCTGCTGGGGTCAAACACGTCGTACTCCTGGATCAGCCCAGTGGACTCTGTCATGTCGGAGTCACTCTCGATGGAGAACTGGCTCTGGATGGGTGGCAGGCACCCACAGGCAGGCACCTGCAGGCACCAGTGGCATGGCCCCACACCAGGGTCTGCAGAGGGAAGCAGGGGCAGGATGTCAGCTTCAAGGGGGACCATGCACAGCCTGGGGGGTGCATATGACACTAGGGGCTCCCGTGCGTGCACAGGCATGGAGCAGAGGGCCATGGGCCAAGACAGGTGTGCACATGTGCAGGAGCCATGAGCGCAGAGCTCACAGTGGGCAAAAGGAGTGTGTCTCCAGCTGACACAGGTCTGTGCCAATGTGTGTGCAGAGTGTGGCCCTGCAGCCTCGTGGGGAGACCTGGGCTCCCACTCCTGCTCAGATGGGCACTAACTATCTGAGTGTGGCCAGTTGACAAAGAGGACTGCTTGACACATGCCCGCAATGGCAGGGGTCAGGACTCCCCCAGCCAGGAGCTGCCATTCTCTCCCATTTTCACACAGGCAAGAATCATGGAGAAGCAGGGCTGGAAGAGGTGCAGGAGGTCACATCTAGTCCAAGCCCCTGCTCAAGGCTGGATCACCCCCATCAGCACCCTCGCAGCCAAGTGCCTGGCTCATTTACCGTGTGCGCTACAGCACTAACAGAGCTCAGCAGCCCTGTCCCACTCCAAACCAGTGCCTCGGTGAAGTTCTGCCTACCTGGCTGGAAAAAGGGCTTCTTCCCCTGCCCACCACTGAGTGGGGGGAAGGGGTGCCGCTCCGGGCCCAGGAAAGTGTCCCACTGCACCTTCTCGGGGCCACCCAGCTCCCGGACTTTCTGTAAGCAGCACTCCAGATAGCTGATGGGGTCCTCGGGGCGGGAGTACATCAAGCCGGTGAGCATGCTCTGCAAGACAGCGGGAGTAAATCAGGCTGGGCTGGGCGGAGCGAGAGGCTGAAGGGAGAGGATCTGCCAGGCTGGGAATTGGGCCTGGGGGGGAGAAGACAGCCCAGCAGAGGCAAGCCTGTATTCACTAGCGGGAGGCAGGACAGCGTGGCTCGGCTCAGAGTGGCAGCACAGACGTGAGAGCGCACCCATCCTGGCACCCAGGAGCCCCCGCACGTGGGTACAACTGCAGCAGGCTGGCGCAGGTCAGGTCCTGCCAGACTCTTGCTAAGAGCTCTCACCTCTGCCCCCGTACTGGGGAGATGGGTGGAGGAGAGCCCTCCTCAGCAGGAGGACATGGGGCAGAATCCAGGCCTGTCTTATTGGTGCTCCCCAGCACAGGGATCTAGAAAGCACTTTGCAAACAGGAGCTCACCAAGCCTCTGGTCAGCCTCCCTCCTGCGCAGCCGGCCTCAGAGGAGGGAACCGCTCTGACTTTCTTACCCAAGTTCCAGCAAGAGACCAGGGAAGAGAACCCAGGTGTCCCGACTGCCCTGCCCCAACCCTCCAGATCCTCCGCCTGAGTGCAGCACCCCGGCGCTACGACTCCCTGCTCATGGGGCAGTGCGTATCTGGTAGCTGCAGCAAAGGACAAGGGTGATGTCTTGGGGCATCTCCTGCAGCCCCCCAGCTCCAAGAGAGGCCTTTGGGGTGGGGGTGGGGGAATAGACAACATGGCTTCCCTTGCTCCCCACGCAGCTGGTACTGCTGGCCACGTCTGCTTGTTCCCTGGTTCTGCTCGTGGCCCCACGCTGAGAGCGCACTCATTTTCATCTCGCCGAGGCAACAGCCAGGACGCAGCGAGGAATACATGAGAGCTGGGGGAGGAGCACGAGCCCCTGGCTCTGCGCGCACAGTCTGCGGGGGGGTGCAGCTGGCAGGATGAAAGGCAGCTACAGGGGACAGCGGTGCTTTGGCTCCCATCAAAGCGTTGCGCCAGGGAAGCGTGGGCTGTGGAGGCGAGCACTCAAGGCCAAGAGAGGGAGGCTTGCCCGTTGCTAGGGACCCGTCCTGAAGTACCTCCTGCTACGGAGAACAGCTCCCGGCTCCTGCCAGCGGAGCACTCAGGTGCCCTGCAGCACCAGGCACAGCTCACCTGAGGCTAGAGGGGGCCACACAGTCCACCTCACCCCAACTCGCCCCGCTGCCCTGCCCTGAGCCCAGCAGCCAGGGCCAACAGGTGGGCAGGCCCATGGGATGATCCTGAGCACTGGAGAAGCCCCTGCTGCACACCGCAGGTCATTTTCCTCTTCGCTGGGAGGTCCGCAGCTCATCTCCCAGCCTTTGGATCTTGTTTGCTTTTCTCTGCTGGGTCCAAGGGCACTGGAGTACCTGGGACATACTCATACGTGGGGGAACAGGGAAGCAGAGATATGCCCAAGGGCACTAAAGTTATCAGTGTCAGAGCAAGGGAAAGAACTTAGGAGCACCTGGCTCTGAGACCCCATTCACACCTCCTCTCTGTCACATCCCCCCACGCACTCGGGGCCCCATGGTGGGGGGCTGCCACTTCACAGGGCTTGGACTCGGCTCTGCCCCAGCTGGTCTGCAGTGACCTGGCACCTCGGATGAAGGACTTCAGTGTCTCCCCACCTCCATCGAAACCAACCCTGACATCCAGCCCTTCCCCTTCCCTAGTCCCCTCCTAACTCTCCCCCTTCACCAGGGTGGGGGAGCTTCTCTCCTGGTTCTGCAGAGTACTTTTTGAGGCTGGGGAGAACGAGCGAGGCAGGAAGGCAGAGATGCCACGGTGATGGGCACTGCATGAGAATCAAGTGAGAGCAAATATCTGTCAGCTTTGTTCCTAGCATAGCTGAGTGGCTGCAGACCTGAGGCATCTGCACAGGCCTCTAGGAACAGCAATTGCCAGGATGAACCTTAACTGGGCAAAAATCAGCCATTTCTCCTCCTGCCACCACCCTGCGGGAATTAACCTGTGGTGCAACCAAGTTCCCAGACTCTGGGAATGGAGGATAAAATAAACAATGAGCTCACGTAAGTGGTGGCTTCCCCCCAGAGCAAGTGTGCCCGGCACTCCAGTCAGGGCGGGTGCCAGACAGGGGCCTACAGCTCACAGGATGGGATCATGCGTGTTCTCAGTTCAGGGCCGTGCTGGAGGCTGCTGGGCCCTTTCCAAGAGAAACATTCACGCCGTGAGCTGGAAGCCACAGTGCCAGTGCGACCTGCCTGGCTGAAGCTAGGCTGACTTTGCACTCGTGCCTCCCTGCAGTGAGCTGCCAGGCAGCCATGTCAGTGCTTTTGGTACACCGACCAGTCTTCAAGATGCCTGCTTGTACCTATTTCGCAGACGGACAAACTGATGTTGTGTCCAAAATAAGCCAGCACTTCCTGCACCATGCGTGGGGAGTGCTGCCTTATTTTGGACGCAACATCAGTTTGTCTGTCTGTGAAACAGGTACAACCAAGGGCCCGTGAAGCTGAAGGTTCAGGGCTGCTGAGGTTTCCCCTTTCCTCTCCAGCTTGGGCAGCTCCCAGGGCCTTCCCTTCCTTGCCAGAATAAAGACTGAATAAAGGCTGTCTATGACAATGGGAACCACTTCCCAAAAGCTGGCCAGGTGCATCAGCATGAAATGTGAGGGGTATGTGGGCCAGACCTACGTGGATGCACGTTCTTGTTTAGCTGCAGCTCCCCTCTGCCTGGCGCTGCTGCCAGCTGTTACTGGGGAATAACAAGGGAGGTTGTCCACAAAATATGAATAAGGTGATTAGCGTCAGTCGCTCCTGCTGCCAGCCAGGCAAGAGAAGCGCCAGCGCGCTCCCTCCACGGCGCTGAGCGCCGGGGGCTGCACACGCCAGGGCAAGTGCCCTCACTAGTGCAATACCGGAGCCGGTGCCACGCCGGCCTCGTGCTCGGGCGCTGCTCGCGCCTCACAAATCCGCGCTGGAGCCCAGGGCCAAGCTCCCGACTCGGTGGCGCTGGCAGCCATCAGGAAGAGACCCGCGAACCGGCTCCAGGCGGAGGGGCCCGGGGGGAGGTCGGGGGTCTCACGGCTGCCGCTTGTCCCGCGTGGCCTTGCTAGCCGCGGCGCCGCGCCGCGCCCGGGGCCTTGGAGGGGTGTCGGGGGCAGGCGTCACGCAGCTGAGGGGCCCCCAGGACGCTCCCGCATCCCTACAGCCCGACAAGCCGCGGGAGACGGGCACTGGCAGCCGAGCCGGCCATCGC